TAATGAAAGCAGTTTATGTTTCCACCCATGTCTGAGAAATCATGAAGTAAAAAGTAATCAGTATCTACAAATTAAATATGGTTATAGTTAAGAATTTTACTTTTATAGCTCTAAATTAATACATAGAGGTCTAGAACTGGCAATACATTTCCTGTTTTGCAAAACTATGTATTTTCCATTAAATACCATGATAATTAGTACCTCAGAATGAACATTTTTGTTTACAAATACAGCAATAGGCTGGGGAATGTAGCTTGGTGATAGAGTACATGCTTAGCATATGCTACGCTCTGTGTTGTATCCACAGAATCTCCCTTTTCTCCAAGAGTCCAGCACTGACCCATGGAACAAGGAGATAAATCTAGATTGGACAATATAGTGTTGTTACCATATAGTTATTAAATTCAAAATTGTGAGTTCTTGAGGAATTCATTATGTCTGGGTGCCTTGCTCCTGTAGACCATTGGGTTGGGAGTAGAATTTGACAGTTGGTTCCTCAGTAGCTTCTTCTGTAAGTGCCCTCTTGGTGGACTCTTGTGAGGGCTTGGTGGCTCGTGCTAGGTTCTGCATAGGCCATATGGTATCTGCTGTGTGGGGTGGGCTTTAGTGACCTTCCCTTCAGTTTTGGGAACAGCACATCCATTTCCTGTTTTCAAAGAAATATTTTGTGACAAATACATGTGACATTCTTCATGGATTGTTATAGTGAGAGATTAATTTAGCATTTAGCGGCTACATCACAGTTTTCGTGAGAATATTTTTGTTGTTGTTGCTAGTCCTGGAATTTGAACTTAAGGCCTGATGCTGAAGGCTAGCATTTTGGTAGTTTATTGGAGATAAGAGTCTCATAAACTTTCTTTCCTGGGCTGACTTCAAATCACAATTCTCAGATCTTAGCCTCCTCAGCTGGAGGGATTACAGGTGTGAGCCACCAGTGCCTGACTTGTGAGTACTTTGTATTCCACACATTGACGTGGCTGGATGAAGTAGGTGATGGGTGCTGATGTGACACCCTTCAGTAAGGCTGGAAAAGGCATAGGTAGCTTCTACGGTGTTTGAAAAAAGAATTTGCTTGTTTTAGTCTATTGATTAAAATGTTAATTTCATCTAGAAATATCCTCATAGATAGACCTGCAATAATGGTTGGCTGAGTGTCTGGGCTTTTCTTTTTTTGATTAGTGTATAATTGAGACAAAAAAAATAACACATTAAGAGTGGTTCACTAAGCCAGGTGCCAGCGGCTCACATCTGTAATCCTAGCTATTCAGGAGGTCTGAGGATCATGGTTCGAAGCCAGCCCAGGCAGAAAACTCTATGAGACTCTTATCTTCAATAAACTACTTAAAAAAAGCTAGACGTGGTGCTGAAGTTCAAGTGGTAGAGTGCTAGCAAAAGAGCAAAAGAGCTCAGGACACCCATGCCCTAAGTTTAAGCTCCATAACTGGACTCCTCCCCTCCAAAAAAAGTAGTTCAACTTTTTGGAAAATTGGGTTTTTAATTTAATTAATTAATTTTAGATATTTACACACAGACTTTAATCAGTAATAGCAAAATTAGGTGCTTATAGGAGATTTACAAATGACTACATCTTAGTTTATAAAATAAACTAACAAATTTATAATAATTAAGATGATAAAAATGTTCTTAGGTCATAATACTACCAAACCAGAATTTAACAACAGAAAAGTATTAGTCTTTAGATTCTTTTGGAAGTCATACAACCTGATCGGTTTTGTTTTGAACTATATATATACACACACACTTCCACTCTCATTGCATTGTTTCTGAGGAAGTCAGCTAATAATGGTATCTTTGTTCATTTATAGTAAGGTGATTTTTTTTTTTTTCTTCTCAAGATTTCTATTTCTGGCTGGGCACTGGTGGCTCGAAGCCAGTTAATTACCAAAAAAGCCAGAAGTGGAGCTGTGGCTCAAGCAGTAGAGTGGTAGCATTGAGCAAAAAAGCTCAGGGACAGTTCCAGGTACTAAGTTCAAGCCCCAGAACTGGCACCAAAAAAAAAAGATAAAAGATTTCTGTTTCTCTTCCTCCTATCTTTAAGAAGTTATACAAAAGTGTTTCAACATGTCAGTTGATCAGTGTTACCCTATTCACCATTCTCATCTCTCCCAACCCCACTCATCCCTCTGTTAGTTTATTTTTGTAGTGTTGGGGATTGAATCAGGACCTTGTACGTGTGTGTGTGTGTGTGTGTGTGTGTGTGTGTGTGTGTGTGTATACATATATAAATACTTTCACATTAAACTGTACTCCTCAGTCCTAGGAAATTATTGATAGCTTCATGATGATAGTGTGATGTCTGAGTTTCTGGTAGTAAACGCACAAATCAAATTGATTTATTTATTTATATAATGATTCGTAATTTATTTTTATTTAAATTTTGAGAAGGGGTGTTACTATATAGCCCCAGCCTTTTGAGTGTCTGGATTACAGGTATGTCATCCATCATGCCTAGTTGCCAAATTCATAGGGATTGAATTTAGAGTCGTGGATTTCTAGTGTCATTCTGCCTAATAATTTACAAATTGAAATTCATACTTTGTTATAAATTTTACTTTATTTTTATAGACCTTTGGGAAGTGTGTATTTCATTTCAGGATAGTGCAGGTATGTTTTACATGATTTTTTTTCTTTTTTTTTGGTCCGGTCGTGGGTCCTGAACTCTGGGCCTGGGCGCTGTCCCTCAGCTCTTCAGCTCAAGGCTAGCGCTCTACCACTTGAGCCACAGCACCACTTGTGGCTTTTTTCTTTTTGCTTATGTGGTGCTGAGGAATGGAACCCAGGGCCTCATGCATGCAAGGCAAGCACTCTACCACTGAGCCACCTTCCCAAGCCCATGATTTTTTTTTTTTCTTTTTTTGGGTCCAGTCGTGGGGCCTGAACTCTGGGCCTGGGCGCTGTGCCTCTTCTGGCTTTTTCTGCTTATGTGGTGCTGAGGAATTGAACCCAGAGCCTCATGCATGCAAGGCAAGCACTCTACCACTGAGCCACCTTCCCAGCCCCTTACATGATTTTTTGAGGATAGTTTGGGGTCTGATGTGCTAATAATCACTAGGTTAAGAGATCTCAAGTTGTCAGCTTCTGGGACCACTCTGTCTCTCAGTGTATTCATTGCTTCATCTGTACTTCTTATATCTTAGGACCTTTGCAATAAGTATTTCAGTGTTGGAATTTATTTTCCAGAAATCCTTGTTTGATATTATTCATTAGTTGTTTTCTAAAATGTACAGGTTGTTGCGTTTCATACATGATACTATTTGCCCATTAAAAGTGTAAAATTTTGTGTTTTTTAGTTTATTCAAATTTGTGAATTATTGTCACAATCAGATTTTAGAACTTTGCATCACCCTAAAAAGGAATAACAAGCTGCATACCCATTAGCAGTCACTCTGTTTACTATCCATAACCTCTGGTAATTGCTAATTAACTTTCTGTCTGTTAGTGTATCTGTTCTAAACGATTAATATACAGGGTTATATAACACATGGTCCCTTGTGTCTGACTTCTTTTGTTTAATGGGTTTCAAGGTTCATCCATGTTGTGACATGTATCCATACTTCATTCCTTTTATTGCCAACTCCATTGAAATGGAGTGTTATTGGATAAATATAGTACATTTTATTTATGGCCATTGTTTATCAGTTGATGAGAATTTGGAGTTGAAACAAAATTGTTTGTTATATAAAAAGCATTAAAATTAATTGTGTTATAAGATCCACAATTAATACATAACAAATATATGCCAATAATTAAAAAAATTAAAAATTATTTTTCTGCTTATGTGGTATTAAGGAATCCAACCCAGAGCCTCATGCATGCTGGGCAAGCACTCTACCACTGAGCCACATTCCTAGCCCCTATGCCAATAATTTTAAAAAATTTAAATATTGTTTTTTATTATTTTTTAATTGTGAAAATACTGTACAGAGGGGTTACAGATACATGAGCAAGGTAATGAGTATATTTCTTTTCTTTTTTGGGGTGGGGATTTGGTCGTGGGGCCTGAACTCTGGGTCTGGGCACTGTCCCTCAGCTCTTCAGCTCAAGGCTAGCACTCTACCACTTGAGCCACTTCCGGCTTTTTTTCTTTTTGCTTATATGGTGCTGAGGAATCGAACCCAGGGCCTCATGCATTTAAGTACTCTACCACTGAGCCACCTTCCCAGTCCCATGGGTACATTTTTTATCAAGCATTGTTGCCTCCTTTGTTTTTCCCCTATCATCCCTGCCCTCCCATCTCCACGACTATACCCACCCCCCACTGCCTAAATTGTAAAGTTCGTTTTTTGGACACAGCATCTTGTACATCTCATTGTTTCAATCCGTCAATCTGAATCCCCTATTTAAACAATTTGTTTTTTTCCCTTGCCCTCCCCAAATTATACCAACATCAAATACAGTGAAAACAGGGGTTATACCATGGGGGAGGAACATACAAAGCAACAAAAAAAATCACATGGTACCTTATAAATACGCTAGAAACAATAGCAAGGAAGAAAAAAACTACTTGTGTCCCTATCTTGGGGCTCATTTTACTTAACATCATCGTATCTGACCTTTTCTGCTTGTCCCATACATATACTAGTTATTGTAAATAAGGGAAACCTTATTGTCAGTTGTGGGGCCTGAACTCTGGGCCTGAGCACTGTCCCTCAGCTCTTCAGCTCAAGGTAGCACTCTACCACTTGAGCCACAGCGCCACTTCTGGCTGAAGGTAATCTGTGCTGTCAGTTCTGTTAAGAGACAGATATAAGACACTCTTACAGAATAATATTTAAGGAGGAAGCTTTAGAATTAGAGTACATTCTGACAAGTAAGTCTAAGAGTTTTGCTATCACTTGTCTTTTATTTCTTCCTGATTTATTTTCTATAGTGACATGCAGCTTTCAAACATGTTTATCAAATTGTAAATGTCTTCCAAACAGATTTTTAAAGAGCTTTCTTCCAGATTTGTCTCAGTGTGAATGTTATTTCTTTTACAGATTGGATTGTAAATGCATCACCAAGAGGCAGCGCAGAATGAAGAAAGCAAGCAGGAGTGTTGGCTCAGTGCCTAAGGTATCTGGGACAAGTAAATCGCAAACAACAGAAAAAATTAAGCCTGAAAACAGTTCTTCAGTTTCTACTGGAGGCAAACTTGTAAAACCTGCAACAGCAGCATCACTGTCAAAGGTATTAATTTGAATATGTGATAGAGTTTAGGAAGAGTGCGTTTTAGTATGATGTTGAATTTATTAAATGAATATTATTTAGGGTGTCACCCTTTACTGGTACTGGCTTTTTGAATATCTCTTAGAATTAGGTGGCCTTAATTGTTGCTTTGGTCTATCGCTATGAATGAAACTCACACTAAGTATCATTTGAAACAAATAATTGAGGACCTGCCTTTTATAAGGTGTTGTGCTTATGACAAGAGGTGAGTCTGCCTTCAAGGAACTTGTGGAGTAAAAGGTAGTATGGTGAGATCCAAACATAAGTAACTGAAACACACAGGGAAAATGTCAGATGCCCTGCAGGAGCAGAGCAGTGTGGACAGTTTCAAATAGGAAGATACTTCTTGTAGCCTAAGAAGGTTTTATGACAGGAGCATGTAAGCCACTCTACAAGACTCAGCAGCTGTGATGTTCCTGGGATTCAGTGTCTAGTCCTACTACATACCCTTACGTACCATAAGCTGCTCTTCTTTTTTGGACAGCTGATTGATCCAGTATGAATCCTAGATAAAACAGGATTTTAGTTTAGTAGGTTTTCTTTATACTCCTTACAGACTATATTATTATTATTTGTGTCTGTCATGGGGCTTAAACTCAGGGCTTGGGCTCTGTCTCTGAGCTTCTTTTGCTCAAGGCTAAGCTCTCTACCACTTAAGCCATAGCACACTTCTGGTTTTTTGTCAGTAGTTTATTGGAAATAAGAGTCTCACAAAACTTTTCTGCCCCGGCTGGTTTTTTTTTTTTTTTTTTTTTGGTCCGGTTGTGGGGCCTGAACTCTGGGCCTGGGCGCTGTCCCTCAGCTCTTCAGCTCAAGGCTAGTGCTCTACCACTTGAGCCACAGCGCCACTTCCGGCTTTTTTCTTTATGTGGTGCTGAGGAATCGAACCCAGGGCCTCAGGCATGCAAGGCAAGCGCTCTACCACTGAGCCACCTTCCCAGCCCCCCCGGCTGGTTTTGAACCTCAATCCTAAGGTCTCAGCGTCCTGAGTAGCTAGGATTTATAGGCATGAGCCACCAGTACCTAGTTGCTTTTTTTTTTTTTTTTTTAAGTGCCAATTTTGGGCCTTGAACTCAAGGCTTGAGCCATAGCTCTACTTCTAGCTTTTTTGGGTGATTAACTGGAGATAAGAATCTTAATGGACTTTCCTGCTCTGGTTGGCTTCAAACCAGCATCCTCAGATCTCAGCCTCCTGAGTAGCTAGGATTACAGGCATGAATCACCAGTGGCTAGCTAAACTCTTTGTGGAATGGAAAGTAATTAATTAGACCACAAGCTTTGGAAACAGATCTGTGCTTAGATCCTGCTTCAAAAATCTATAGGCAATTCAACCCCCATGACTGACAAAATAAAAACAAAAACAAAAATCTATAGTCAAGATTAAATGAGGGAATGTATAAAGTGGGTAACACAGAGCTGGGCACAGACAAAGTGTTTAATAAAATGACAAGTAGTAGCATTCTTTTTGTTGGTGGTGGTGCTGAGGTTTGAACTCAGGGCCTTGTTCTTTTCAAGCAGGTATTCTATTACTTGACCACTTGAACCAAATAGTTGCCCTCTCCCTCCTACCCTCCCACTTTCTCTATTCCTTCCTTCTGTTTTGTGGTATATACTACTTGAGCCATGCCTCTAGTCTTTATTTTCCTGCTTTCTTTTTCTTTTTTTTTTCTGTATGTTTTATTAGCATCAATTAGTTGTACAAGGACATCTCATTTTGATATTTTCATATATATATATATATATATATATATATATATATATGTATGTATGTATCCTGCTCAATCTCTTTCATTCCCTCTTCCCCTGACCTTTTTTTTTTGGTCTGTCAGTTGTGGGACTTGAACTCTGGGCCTGGGCGCTGTCCCTTAGCTCTTCAGTTCAAGGCTAGCACTTGACTACTTGAGCCACAGTTCCACTTCCTGTTTTCTGGTGGTTAATTGATTGGAGATAAGAGTCTCACAGACTTTCCTGTCAGGGCTGGCTTTGAACCTCGATCCTCAGATCTCAGCCTCCTGAGTAGCTAGGGTTACAGGCATGAACCACCAGCACCTGGCTTTACTTTTTTTTTTTTTTTTAAAGGTCTTAGGTCTATGCTTATTTATCCTTCCCACATAGCTAGGATTTGAGGTGCATAACATATCCAGCTGTTAATTAACTGAGATGGAATTTTTGAGTTTGTGCGTTGGCTGGCCAGGAGCTGTGATCCTTTTGCTTTCAACCTCCTGTATAGCTGGAATAAAAGGCATGCACCATCTTGTTCAGCTATTGGTATGAAGTCTCAGGTTTATATACGGGTTGAGCTCAAACCATGATCCTCCAGATCTTGTCCTCCTAAGTAGCTAGGATTATAAATATAAGCCATTGGTGCCTACTTCCACATAGTATTTTTGTTGGTTAGCTCTACAAACTTTTCTTTAACCCTGGATTGTTTTTTGAATATACCAGTTTTCCCATGGTATGTTCTCAGTGTCTGTTGGTTTGGGCCATCCAAGGGACAAGATTGCTTTGTGCCGTTTTCCTGCTGATCCAGCCTTTGATATATTGTTGCACATAATCCAGTCTTTTTGAATTTCAGTTCAAAATTCTTTTGTTCTTGTTTACTTTAGGTTGTGGTGTCTTGGTAGAAACTTTGATTCTGCAGAAATCTAGAAGAGTATTTCTGCTACTCTGATAGGGAGAAATGAAGCATGACCTGAAACATGAGTTGTTCAAAAGCCCTTTGTCCAGGCAGATAGAGTGTGTCTTAATTATTTTAAGAAACACCTCAGAAAGGATGAGCAGATGCCATTCATATGGCTTTATTAAGAAGGAAAGTAAAGATCTCAGGTAAATTAAAAAAAAAAAAAAGAAACAAGCCAGGTGCTGGTGGCTCACCCCTGTAATCCTAGCTCCTCAGGAGGCTGAGATTTGAGGATCGTGGTTCAAAGCCAGTCCGGGCAGGAGAAAGTGAGACTCTTACCTCCAGTTAACACCAGAAAACTGGAAGTGGTGCTGTGGCTCAAGTGGTAGAGCACTAGCTTTGAGCTGAAGAGCTGAGGGACAATGCCCAAAAGTTCAAGCCCCACGACCGACAAAAAAAAAAAAAAAAAAGAAACACCTCAGAGGAACAGTTGATTAGAGACTAACTTATTAGTGTTGAAAGATCTAACAGGAAATGCTGGTTTTTCTATTCTGAGGTTGTTAAAATGAGCCTAGACTTACTCCATGGCTTAGGAAAGGCCCCCTGGTTTTCTTGATCCAGCCCTGATGACTTGATAGGTGTCATCCTGTGGCCTGGAGGATAGTACCAGGACAGGTCTATGCCCTGCTGACATTACTCTGAATCAGCACCCTGAAGAATTTCCTTGATGGTAGTGCTGCCACATGTCTAGAAGTCAGGCAGCATTTTCTAACCTAACTGGTTACTCCATTGCTGGGGTTGTCCTCAGAGTGGAGGGCCTGTATGATTGGGTGATCTGTTGTTGTGACTGGAAGAATAGGTTGATACATTGGCCCTGGATGTGCACTACTGGCTTCCTCATCAGTGGCAGTCAGTGTCTTTGAAGATTAACTATGGAGCATGCATGGAGCAGGCATGTCAGATCTTCTGAGGTGTGGATCTTGACTCACTGGCAGTTTGATCTTGAAAAGTGAGTACTTTTCCATTCTAAAACAAAACTGAGTATCAACTCTTGCCGGCACGAGCTAGCTGTCTTACCTTGGACTTGGCTGTGTTGACAAGTCTATTTAAATTGATACGTGTGTAGGCAGGAAGGTAGTGGAGATGGTTAGTGAAGAGCTAAAGCTCTTTTGTAATAGTTCCTGTAGGGAGTACTATGTTTTACCTAAAAGAGAAGTCATTGATTAGCAATTGAAGAAGTGAATGTAGGAAAAAAGAAAATAGTGAAACAGAACAGAAAAATTGAAACCATTAAGTGGCTTTTGAGGGGCCAGAGTGTAGCTCAGTTGTAGAGCACTCATTTAGGATAGTTTATGCCCAGGTTCAATTCACAGCCCTACAAAAGAAGGGAGGGGAGTGGAGGAAGACTTCCATCTCTGGCTCATGATACCTTTCACAACTTGAATTCCAATAACTATGATGGAGCAGTGATGATTAGTGAGCTGAAGGAAGCATTTGGCTTTTAATTATTTAGATCCCTACACTAACTCATTTGTGTGCGGACTCCTACCTGGGTATCAGCATTGCACAATACTCTTATGCCCCTTTTCAGTAGCAAGCGATAGGACAATGCATTTTCTCACTTACCTCATTTCTTAAGGCTAGATCTTATCAAGAGCTAGGAGGAAGAACCTCTGATGCTGAGTATCTCACTGCTCTTTGGAGCTGTGGTTATCATTGAACAAGGCACTATTATTGTGCAGTAAGTTTGGAGGAGGTTACTCTCTTTTCAGGAGCTGTGACATCTTGTATGGGGATTTTGTGTATTCTTTGTCACAACTAATAGAATTCTTTTCTTTGTAGAGATAAATTCATAAATGCCTGTTCTGCCAAAGTCAGCATACTGATCAGTATTCATAGTTTGTGCTTGTAGGATCAATATGCCTCTTTCATTATACTGGCAAATACTTTTTTCCTAAAAATGGATAGATGGTTGAAACTAATAACCTTCAATCAGAATCTGAATGAATAGCTGAGTACTTATGATTATACCTTTTTTGTGTGTGATCTTAACCTTGTAGTCCAATATTAGGTTATCAGAGCAGAGGAGGTAGCTAGTGATTGTTTGTTTGTTTTTCATGAACAAGATCCCAGGTTTAGATTCCCAGCCACGTCCCCCAACCCCCATAACAGAAGAAAGCAGTTAATGGTATGAGCAGTCCATCTCTGAAACTTAAAAGGTAAAATTTAAAGCAATTTTTTTTGGTATATAAGCGTTTGAACTCCAGGCCTCCTTGTACTTGCTAGATAGGCATTTCTACTACTTGAGCCATGCCCTCTGTCCTTTTTTGCTTAAGTTTTT